CCGCTCACTCCCCAGCTCCCAGCAAGTGAGAGCCCCGAGGAGGAGGAGGAGGAGGAGGAGGAGGAGGAGGAGGAGGGCCGCAATGAGAAGGGGTCTGGCTGGAGGAGGGCCATGCCATGCCAGGAGGGCCAGAAGCAAGTCCAGCCGGGAGCACCAGGCCTGCTCAGGAAGTCCGCAGCCCCTGTGTTCCCCGCGGAGCGTGTCCGCGAGCACGTGTGGGCGAGACGGAGGAGGGCGGTGCCAGCGCAGGTGTGCTGCAGCGTCCGCTCCAGGCCTCCCAGTGCGCCTTCGGCCGCGCTTTGGACTTGCCGACTTCATCCCAGCTCTTCCCGCTTCTTCCTGACACTGACGCGTCCGTGTGGAGCAAAGGGTTGCCAAAAAAAGCCTGTGCCTATTTAGAGGTCCCTCTCCTGATTAAGTCAGCGTTTGCGACGCGGGATAATGAGAGCCTAGCACTCCTAAGGTGCAGACACCTGGAGCCACTTCCAGCTGCGTTCTGCTTCCCCCCCCCCCCCCCCGTTCCCCTGGAGGATCTCGCTCGTGTCGAGGCGAGCGTGGGTGTGAACAGGGAGCATGGCTGGGAGCTCGCACAAGCGTGTGAACCGTCTCTTCTTTAGGTGTGTGTGCAGTCAGGGGCAGGGGGGGGGGTCCCAGGTTTGATCCGCATCAGGCGAAAGAGTGGGCTGATCCACTGGTGTGCCCCACTTCTAGGCCACTTCGGGGACTCCCACAATCACCCGGGTGCGGCTTACTTAGCAGGAAGGACTTGAGGCTTTTTTGAAATAGTGGTGTGGTTCCCCCAGTCGCCATTTCGGGTCCAGAGTGTGCCAAGCTCCATCGCCTGAGCTTAAACAGGCACATGCAACCTGAAGGTGGAATCCTGCTATAGCAACTGCAGATCTGAAAGCCTTGGAGGGGATCGGCAAATTAAAATTGCTCGTGCACTCATATTATCTCGTAGGAGCACATGACCTGCAAGGACCCGTCAAGAGGAGCAGGTAAGAAGCACTCCTGAGATAAATCCTCCAGGGAAGACTGCATAAAGGCCCCTGCGATCGAGAGTTCTCTCTTTCCCCACCTCCAGCCTGCTCTTTTGGCCCCCCTGCAGGCACTCGCAGTTCTCCTCCATCTTGTCCTGTCCTCCCCTCCCAATTCCAAAGTCACCCCATCCACCCTCTTAGGGAGAATCCCTGTTTTGCAAGTAGATTCAGGCTGGGGCTCACAGCCCAGCTTATTCTGGTTCATCACTCTTGTCCCCTTGTCCTCATCCCTCGGTCTCCATCACCCTCTGCCATAGGATTCCTTGCAGAGATTCAAGCGGATCCAAGCCCTTCCAATGCACATTCCCAGTTGGGGTGCCGTGGTCAACAGTCCATGGAAGCGCACTCTCCGTGGCAAACCGTGGACAGAATTGCCCGTGGGAGTCCCCAGAGAGGTCTCTTGCCCCGAACTCCTTTGGGCTCCCAAGACGTGTCCCCCGGTTCTGTGGCAACCTCTCCACCCTCTCTTGCTAGCCACCCAGCCCGAAGGCCATGGCAGAGTCACCACGCCGGCATCCAAACGTCTTCCAATAGCAACCCACGTTTGACTTTCGGCCAGATTTGGCATCTCTCCCCATTCCTTGCGACTGTATTCCTGGAGTGTTAATTGGAGGCCTGGCAAACGAAGTGAGAGTTGCTTCTAGTTTCTTTTTTCCTTCTTTAAAGGCGGTGTAGAGTCAGCGGTTACCTTGCAACATCGTGGTGTCACTAATGAATTGCTAATATAATTTTCTAGGTAATTTTATTTCTACTCCCCCCCCCCCCCAGATTCTAAATCGGCCTCCGAAAACACCGTGTTTGTTCGCCTTAATCTTCCCTGTGTAATGCAATTTGCACTGACTCATACATCTCAGAGCGATCAAGTATGCATAAACAAAGGCAAATTGTTTAATAGTACAAAGGTCATGGGGTGTTTGTTATTGACAATGTGTAAATATTGGGATTGCAAGGTGAGTGGGGGAGAGACATTTACCACCCTGTGGCTTGAGGCCTTTCTGAGCCTGGAGTTTGTAGGCATGCAAGGACTTCTCCCATGGATTTCAAGCGGGGCAGGGGTCCAGAGATGCAGGCGTCTTCCTCCTGTTTCGAGTACGCATGCTCCGGCGCCGCGTGGGCCATCGCTGCGGGAGATGTCAGAGGTCAAGCCGGGCTGGCCGTGAGCATGACGCACGCGTCAAGGTGTGCGTCGAGTTGGGCAGCCGTCCAGCAACTGGGCAGTCAGGTGACTCTCCCTCCAGGAAGGGAGCTGCCTTTCTGGGGAAACCTTTGCGGCTGAGCCTGCGTCCCTCTCCTACTTAGGGGGGCTGCTTTACTGAGCAGCCCACGTTTCGCCATAAAACCTCGAGGCTTAGCTTGCTCAGACAAAAGCCCAGGGGCCTCCTGGGTGTCTTCCGACTCCCGGTGCGATGCAGGGGGTCAGCGGGAGAGGCGCCGAGCGGTTCGATCTTCGCAGGCCCCGGCGTGGGGTGATCTCACCTGCTCCTTCCTGCGCTCGGGCGATTTGGGACTGAAGCGACCCGCCCAGTCTCGCATTTCTGCTAACATTGCGACACATTCTTGGCTGTGCAAACACGGGGATGAGACGGAGCCCCAAAGTCCTCCAGCTCTAAGACTCCACGAAAAGCAGGCGCAGTCTGCCCCGACTGTGCTGCTCGGAGTTGTGGGTCCGTGTCCACAGCAGTTGTGCTCCTTCCTCCCGCTCGAAGTTCTCCAGATGCCTGTGTCTGTGGGGGGCGCAGGGGGCTGGTGGAGCTGGGAGGTTTTCAGAACTGCTTCAGTCATCCAGGGCTCAACCCGCGTTTCTCGTCTCTCAGCTCCGCCAAACCACCCTTTGCACCTGCACCTGGATTTGTTTGTTTGTTTATTCATTTAATTTAAAACTTTTAAAGACCGTCCCTTGCCATAGTAAGAGCCAGGGTGGTGTGGTGGTTCAGAGCGTGGGACTGGGACTCAGACGACCTGGGTTCAAGTCCCCACTCAACCATGGAGCCAACTGGGTGGCTTTGGGCCAGTCACAGACTCTCAGCCCAACCTACCTCACAGGGTTGTTGTGGAGGGGATAAGATGGAGGAGGAGAATGATGTAAGCTGCCTTGAGCCCTTTGTAGGAAAAAGGCAGGATATAAATCAGAAAATAGACAGACAGACAGACAGACTCAGGACGGTTTAACAATAAGACAAAAGAGAACAAAACACAGCATCCTGGTCAAATTCTTAACCAATCAACAAGAAAACCCATATTAAAAACAGTCAAACCTTAAAACATTGGAGAAATAAAAAGGGGTTTGCCTGGCGCTGAAAAGAATAAAGTGACAGTGCCAGGCGAACCTCTCTGGGAAGCGAATTTCGCAGTCGGGGTGCCACTGCAGAGAAGGCCCTGCTCTGGGTAGCCCCCTCCCCCCAATCTCCTTCAAGGAGGGCTCCCGGAGAAGGGCCTCTGCCCCAGATCTTAGGGGGTGGGCAGGCACATGGGGAAGGAGACGCTCCTTCAGAGAACCAGGCCCTCAGCCGTTCCCCTCCCACATGGGTGCTTTGGAAGAGCAGCCAAACAGCCACGCAGACTCTCCAAGCAGCCTGGGCCTGCGGAGCTGGACTGCAGGGATGGCGACCGAGCCAGTGGCCCTGGGGACCACCCCGGCCTGCAGCCCTCCTGGCCCAGGGCTAGCTGCTCCCACGCTTGCCTGTCAGTCCTCCAGCAAGGGCCCCTCTCAGCCCTGCCGGGGACCGAAGCCAGAACTTGCGGGTGAGACCACACGTCCCCCCGAAAGAGATCAGGCGCTGGCAAATGTCAGTAGCAGGGGGGCTTTTTGTGCCACACCTTCCGCTTCCTGAACAACTCCCTCCCTGCTTTGAACGCACCTGTATCTCCAGGTTGCTGGTATATTAAAGAAGGCCATATTATAGGTTAACTGGTTGTCAGCTTAAACTGGTGCCAATGGCTCTTCTCATTTTACTCTTCACTCTCCTTCAATGAGGCATTTTCAGAGTGATCGTTAATATTTTTAATTTTACTTCTTCAAAATTACCTCTTGCTGGTAGATGGATATTCGGGAAGTACATTAGGAAAAACATTTTCTTCCCAATTTCCGCTCATGAAATTTGAAAGTCACAGTGTGCACATCATAACATGTCTTTTACTATCTTTTTTTAATTTGCCTTTTATTTTATTTTATTTTATTTTAATTTGCTCCCTAACTCGTGTAATCAGGTTTCATTAATGGAGGGATATTTGCCTAATATGCTCTTTTGATAACTGCTTTTGATGTAACTGCCTTAAACGTCGCAGCATCCGTTCACATCACACCAGAGAAGGTGTCCTTCCCTTTCTGCTCCCGTTTTGCCATAGGCAAAACTATGTCTACCCCACACTTAAAGAAGGGAGGATCCAAGTGATGTAATTTGAATTAAATGTGCAAATTAAGCTAATATTCGCTTATTTTCGTATAATCCCTTTTCTTTGAGGCATGTGGACTGTCAAGATTCTAAGACAGGTTGTGTGTATGTCAGGCTGAGGGGTGAGGGAGCAGAAAAGATGCCAAAGTCCCGAGTTCTTGTGGCTGTGAGAAAATCTCTGAAAATGCGAGGCAGGTAAATAAAGGTGCTGAAATGTAAGCTCTAAATAGACTGGCAAAACCAGAACAAATCGTCAAGCTTTTTAAAATGGAGTATTTTGTACGGGTTACAGAATTGTGTGTGCTTTTGAACATGGTCTGCTTTATCCCTAGCTAGAGCCAGACCTGGAACCCCTGGAATTGTTTTTCATTGACCATCACTGTTATCTTCACAGTCATGAGGGCTAGAAACATGCTGTAAGTTAAACTGAGGTCGCTGCGCACCGCACCCTTGCACAGGGTGCTCCCAGCATCTAGGGCGCAGCTGCTTCTGTGTATGCAGGAGAGGGTGTGGATGAGGAGATGGCCTGGGAATGTGGCTGATGGGAACTCCCTTCCTCTCCCTGCAGGCTCCGACATGGCCGTCTTCTGCCTCCTCTGTGGGAAGCGCTTCCAGACGCAAACGGCCCTGCAGCAGCACATGGAGGTGCACGCCGGGGTGCGCAGCTACATCTGCAGCGAGTGCAACCGCACCTATCCCAGCCACACGGCCTTGAAGAGGCACCTGCGCTCCCACACAGGTACGTGCTTCGGCCCCAGGCGAGGGCTGGAGCCACGCGGGCCGGCAGGGCGGGGCGCTCGCCCCTGGCTCCTTCAGCACCACTGCTCCTGCCCCCACGGAGGCGCCCCTTTGCCGGGTGCATTCGCATCTCCCGCCCTGGAGCAGGACGCACCCGTCCTCTGCCCCACAGGAGAGCCAGCGGTGCGTGCGGAGGAGGCTGGGCGTGTGTTCGGGAGCAGAGAAGGGGCTGCGGCTGCAAACTATTCGTTGGCGGAATGTGAGGAGCACCGGCCGGCTGGCCTCTTGCTCTGGAGCTCATTTTGCCAACCTGCCTAGCAGGGCTGGCTTCTTTGCCAGGATCCTTACGATGAGTAACCTCGGCCGCCAACTTGGGAACGGCTGAGACCAATCCGTGTGAAGAGAGGCTTTTGCTCACACTTCCCTCTACCGTGAGTGACGTTTGGCTGCGTTTCAGGATTGGAGAGCTCTGGCCCAAAATGGGAAGGACTGCAGATGCGACAGGAAACTGAATTTTGCACCCCACAGAGGCTCAAAAGTGCAGAATTACTGAGGGCTGCATTAAAATACTAAGTCCGTGCATTTCTCCCCCATCGCTCAGTCTGCAGGAACGGCCTCCTACACCGTGCCTTGCTCAGGCGATGTAACCCGCACGTTATGCCTTGATGCCCGGTGTGGTGCGGGGAGACAGTGGAACCCTCTGTATGTGAGGTCGGCCGGTCTCTGTGACCGGCCTGCCCTCGCGACAGGGGTGTGCTTCTCCGCCGTCATTCCCCACAGGCTGCCGTAGCAGGCGCAAAATTCCATCCTCCTCTTGCAACATGCGCATCATCCCTCGGTTAGCACCAGTGTTGTCAATCCCACCCCTTCCCACGACATGTGGGGGGACTTCACACCCCTCCTCCTTCCGAAAGACCCCACTGGGGATCGGTGTACATGCAGCTTCCGTGCAAGCACAAGCGCCCCCCGCCCCTCGCGCTCCCGTCGGCTTCGGGCTCTTCCGAAGGGCCTGGTGGGCGCACGCCTCCTCTGCTCGCTCGGCTTGTGCGCCACCTCATTAATATACCACCCTGCCAGCCCCATTTGCTTCCGGGCTGTGCTGAGCATCAGCAGCTGCGCTCGGTGCACGGGGCAGCCGGGCTGCTGGCATCGACGGAGCCCTGATTTACGGGGTGGGCTGTGTCATAAAATCCTTCGCTGTGCCAGCAGGGCGGTCTACAGGTCCCCAGGCTGGCTCCAAACAAACGCGCCAGGTAGTGCTCGAGAGGCCGGGTCACAGGTGCGGCCGGCTGGCCAGAGGGATCGGTAATTAGTCCCGTTTGTCCTGGACTGAATGTCAGCCTCATTAAGAGGCCTCGCAAAGTGAATCAACATGCCATAAATTGGATTTTTTTAAAAGTCTGGCAGCCAGGTTTTGTGTCCAAAGGCACAAAGATTTGCTTCCTCCACAAGCCTTGCAAAGCAGGTGTTGTCGGCATTACTTCGGGAGGACCCAGATTTAAGCTCATTTAACATGTGATTGCCTTGATAATTGAATTTGCTCAAGCAGGGCCCTGCATTCGCACTTGCCTTGGAAGGGTGGCCTGTCGTTTGCTCTGCTCTGCTCTGCTCCACCTCGCCTTTGCTTCTCCTTGCTTCTCTTTCGCTTCGCTTTTGCCTTGCTTCGCTTTGCTTCGCCTTTTTTTGTTTTGTCTCATTTCATTCTGAAAGTAAGCACAAAATTGTATTTGTTTTTTTTTTAATGGAGACACCCTGCATGAAATGCAGGCAGCGGAAAAATGTGAATTATGCAGCAGGTCGCCCTTCGTGCTCGTGCGTTGTTCCCGCTGAAAACCGCTTTGCGTGATCAGGCCGTCGCCACTCCTGACCTGCTTGGGGGTTGTCCGGGGAGGCTCGCTCTCCGTGTGGCGCAGGGACCTCGCTGCTGCCGTTCCTGGAACAAAGGGGCTGGGAGGATGCATGTGAGCTTTCTAAAAATAGCACAGGAACAGAGTCCTGGATCATTCACTCAGCCAGGGGTTTGCTGCCCCTCTTCCTGGTGTGACGGGTTTCTTGTTCCTCTTGCCTTCTTTTGTGAAGCTGGTTGCCGTGTGGCCATTTTACACCTGGAGAAACCGAGGCTGAGAAAGAGGGAGGTTTTTTGAAGCCTTCCGGTGGACCTGAGCACTGGAAGAGCCATTCTGGGCCCCTCCTTCTGCCTGTGCAGAGCTTGCGTGAGAAATGCAAAGGCTCCTCCAACCTCGGTCTGCGTGGCACGGCCCAACCCTGCCTGGGACAGAGCAGGGGCAGCTGAGCGCTAGACGCGCTTTGGAGGAGAGGCCGCCAGTCCAATCCCAAGTGCCATTTCCAGGGAGGGCAAGAAAGGCTCCTGCTCAAAGCCCATCGTTTTCAGCGTCATGGTGGACCACGGCTGAAGAAGCGCCACTCCATGAGGCAAGCCCTGTGTCCATCTCGGTGCCCCTCATCTTTCCCCCATAAAATGAGGAGAAGGTCAGCAGTGTCTGAGTCAGGCCAGGGATTTGGACGCAGAACTGTTTGGCTCTCTGTCACCAAGGTCCACCCCAGGCCCGATCCCCAGCATCTCCAGAGAGGAGGAGGAGGAGAACAGCTGCCAAGCCCTGCAGAGCCAAGGCTGCCAGTGTGTGTTGGCCATACCGGTCCAGCTGGCCCAAAGTCCTGGCTCAGCGAGCAGCAGCTCCTGATGCGCCTGAAACCCTACGGCTCGGGCTCAAGGCAGGGACCAGGCAACTGAAAAGCTCGGCTGGCCTGCAAGGCTGCCCAGATTGCGCGGACCCCGATTCCATAGGCTTCCCTCATCTCCGGGACACTCGCCGAGCATCGTCCCCGTCTGCACCGGTGGCTGCGCAGCATGCAGAAGCTGCTGTCACACACAAACATGTAATGATGCCTGGACAATTTGTGCTGTGGGATTGGAATTGATGCTGTGAGGGTCCTGATGTAGGAGAGGAGGGGGATTCTGCCCGGGGGACGAGGGGGGGAAGCAGCGGCAGGGGAGGGAGAGGAAAGCAAGAGAGTAAAATATCATTGTAACTAGGAAGTGGAGGCGGCAGCCTGTGAGTCTATAACGAGAAGGACAATTTATGCTCAGGCACGAGTTCGGTTTGACATGGGGATAATGAAAAAGCGTAGGTCATTGTGGATGACTTAAGCCTTCAGCAGCTGAGGAAAATGTATGAAATGCAAGCGGCATTACACGCTTGGCGGCTCGGCACATCTGCACCGGGACAAGTGAAATACAGTGGGGCCATTCTTTACCATAAACTTGTGGTCGTTGGATCCGCCGAGCCCGGAGAAGAGCGTAATTACACTGACAAGACAAATCAGTGATATTTAAATATTCATGAACAAAGTCTCGGGCAATCAATCTATCTTTATTGTCCTTCCATTCAGCTTCTGTAATTTTTATTTTTCCGCAAAAGAGAATTGGAAGC